GCTAGGAACTCCCTATTGGGTATAATTCCACCTAAACTTGTCAAGAGGGGAAAAAAATTGATTTTACCTTGAAACAGTGGCAGCATTTGTTCTCTATTCTTTTATTTTAAGCACCGGCGAGTTACCTCAGCAGCAGCTCTCAAAAGAAAACCTGGAAGCCATAATTGGCTAAACTCAAAGAGCACTAAAACACAAAACAAAAAGCCATTGCAACACGCTCCCCATCAAAGTGCTTTTTTAACGTGCAACCTTTGCAGAAGCAGAGTAGTCAAAACAAGAGCGTGAGGAGGAGTAGTATAATAGTCTGGATCTCTTCAACCTAGCATCTTCAAAACCAGGAAAGGTTTTAAAAGTGAACTTCAGAAGAGAACAACCCTTAGTTCGTTTCCATCCTCTACAGTAAATACTGGTTTGGCTCATCTTGGGCATGGAGTCAAGCTTTTACTCAGAATCCATTTCTAAGTCAGATTCACTTGCATTTGAGGGAAGATCACATCAAAATTTGCATTTTTTACAATAAGAGTTAGAGAACTAGGAAGACAAAAGCAGTATTATATTCAACAAGCAGTATTATATTCAACTACGGGGGGGGGCAGGCAAATTTTCTACAAGTAAAACCTCCTCCAACAGAAGAAAAACCCCAAATTTCACCAAAACACAGAGATACAACCTGACCGAAGGGCTCACTCTCACTTTAACAAACTCCTTTGCATTCTTTACCCCTTGGAAAGACAGCTAGAGGACCTTCTGCTTGCCTACCACCAAACAAAAGACTGGGGCACCTTCCTGAAATATGATGATCGTGGAAATTGCAGCTCCTAGACAGGGTGCTTAGAAAGCATTTTGCTGTCACTGTGAACTAACCCTGAGTAATACACTTAAAGAAAACAAAGTCTGGGCATTGTTTTAAGTGTAGATTAGCACTGTGGAATTTTTTTTTTTTTTTTAAAGTTGGTGAAGCTATTTAAGAGGCAGCATGACCTTTGTAAGCTAAACTGAATATATGCAACAGATAGACTTGGCAAATATTTTAAATGATGATAAGCATGTTTTATGTTTCTGATACATTTTGGGTTATAAACAAATACAGAGGTAATTCTGGAATTTAAGTACACTGATTAAGCAAAATTGTTAGGCTTAATCAAATACGTATATTCTAATGTTAACTTTAAATGATACTGTTGTCATTTATAACCCAAAAATACCGAGTTCTTTCCCTTCCCCCTGTTACTTTGATGGTTAGAAAGAAGCCGCTGAACTACCAGAGTTCCTGCCGGAGAACACAGAGGTAGATTAGAAATTCAAATAAGCATTGTGTGACCTCGAGTGAGGCAGGTCTTGATTTTGTTCACGTTTTATCACAGCTTGGAAAGAAAAGATCTCTTTGGCACCATTTTTAGAAAAACTCCCAACTTTTCAAATATACCAAAACTTTTTTTTTTTTGCTGTCGCCTGCCTACAGTACAGGGAGTGCAGCTGGAGTCCGTACCTTGTAGTAAATATAATGTTGTTCTTTGGTACATTTTTCTTGTGTAGTGCAAATTACTTTGAACACTTTAAAATAAGATGTCCCCCTGCTTAGCTGTACCACAGCGATAAGTACACGCGCAAGGCTCACGCATTACCGCTATCTGTAGTAATACACTTGCTTACACAGTGTCCCAGGAAAAGTAATTTAACCATGCAGTTCAGCAAAGTTCATGAAAACATTCAACTCGGAATAAAGATAAGCAAAAAAGCCGCTATTCGGTGTTCTGACGTTACTTTTGTTACCAAAAAAAAAGTCATTTTTGCATTTAAAAATGAATTTTAGCACATACTTTCTAAAACCTGCTCTGTTCAAAAGTAATGGCTTCTTTCAAAACCGTGTGTCCATGAAGGCTCCCAATTTGATGTTGCAGAAACGTGGACACAGTGTCTGTACCAGTGGGGGTCACTTTTCTTTTCATCCTGCTGGATCAGCTATAATGACTTGATGTCAGGGAATATTTAGAGACAGCTCAAGAAGGGGAAAGTTGGAGCATGGCAGCAGGATTCCCTTCTTCTCTGTAGACAGATCACTGGAGCCTTTGATATGCAAAAACACTGTTTTCAGCTATGGCTTGAGATATAAAAGGGAAGTGCGAGATATCAAACAATCAGAACCTGAAGAAAACTATTCTAAGTTTAGGAGAGGGAGTGGGGGGTATAGTCTTAATCCACATTTTTGAAACAGTGTCGTCTTCTCCAAAGAGACCTGCTTTTATTTTTCTCTCTCTTGTTTTCATGTAATTTTGAGAGAAGGGATAAGAAAAATTCCAAGAACTTAATGAGCTTTAGTGCTTTCATTTTAATCCTACGCATTACTGCTATTATAATAGCAGCAATAAATGAAGGGATGACTATGAAGTGGAGCAAAGAGGAAACAGTTTATATGCTAGGAAGGTAAAACAAATGAACTTACATTACATATATACATCCACACATGAAAGTATACATACTAGAGCCTCTGTTTTGCTTAATACTAACATGTTTTTTACAGCTGTATAAGTTCTAGAGAAAATTTATGGTGGGTTTTTTTTTTTTAAGTACTTAGAAGTTATTGTAGCCTTCAAAGGCCTATTTAACAAATTTATATTCCTGCTTCACAATATATTTCCAGCAAATACGCTCTATCACAACTTCACATTAGCTCCTAAGAGATAAGATTTTTCATGCAGCTGTTAAGCATCTGTTTATTTCAAAGTTTTAGGAATAAATCCTGGACTTCTTTCCCCAAACGCTTCAGTAATACAGACCAAGAAAACCGGACGCTGCAAGAATATGGAGCCTTTTTGTTCCATTTTATACTGGTTGCATAAGCTGCCAAAAAATATGCATCCCCTTGTATGTGTACATGCAAATTGAGTTTTCGCCTTAAATAAAGCATATGTTAAAATATTTATGCCACAGTGGGGGTCTCTCATTTTAAGTTACTATTTTTGTTACACAACTGCTGAAAACAAGGTGCAAAAACAAAGCTCAGATGAGCATGAAAGCAGCGTCCGGAGAGAAAAGGCTTTACCATTCCCTCGCTAGACAGTAACACCATCTCTAAAGAGGGGGGCCTTTTTTTTTTTTTTTTAAATGGTCAACATTTTTCTATGAAAAAGAGCAGCATAATTTGTATCTATGTCAGTAATTTTGTATCATTGCATATTTCCTGTTGCTGTAGGAGTATTACCGATCTGTTTCATGATGGATGTGCTTCAAATTGCAAAAGACAGTATTTTAAAACAGAGACTGTTTCTGTTTAGGTCTAATATTTTATGAAGGACCAGAAGCTACTCTAGTTAAGCTCATAGGAAGGGAGCTAAGCAAGCATTACTCAGCATGCTGTTTCTTCCTAGCATGTCAGTACTGAGGATTGTGCTCAGTTCACCAGACAACATGCGATCACGAAAAGGAGAAGCAAGTGAATGTTAAGGATTTTTTTAATTTCAGATTTAACCATTTCTATTTCAGACTTACTACCTACATGCTCTCAGGGAACACAGACTTGATATCTCACCTGATACTTTCTGCAATAGTGATATGAAGTAGCCAGAGTTAAAACGTACCATTCAAAAATAACCAAAGAATTTAAGTTCTTCAAGAAACGGCAACAGCCAAGATTGAGAATATTTTTTTAAATGAGAAAAATCAGATAAAATGCTAATCTAAACACAGATTCCACCATGCAAAATGACAAATACAATGGCTTAAAAGTTCAGACGGCTTAGCATATCGAGCACATTTCATGGACAAAACTCTCATAGGTAACCCTGTTGTCAAAGAGTTGATACAGATGACTAGCTTGTCCCCAATTCAAAATCAACATGTTGCAAACGTGAAATACGAATACAGTATTTTAGCAAAAAACGTTTCCCCTTTCATCCAATAACTACTGAATGGTAATTAGCTCCTTTTACTTTTAAAATGAAGGCTAGGATCATCTTCTACCTCAGTTTACCAAGAACATAAAGCAAGCAACCGTTTTAGCCTCAAGTGGGAAACATCATTTACCAAGGTTTTGTTACTGTCTATTAATTCAGGATACCTTTATTTTCTATTGGAAGAAAGGAAAAGATAGTTCCAGCAAAACTGCAGTAACATGAGACTAAACAGCAAAATATGTTCTTAAAGAGCTCTATTTTGCCAAAATACCAATATTTTGGGAAAACAAGACATGATAGTCACGTATACAATAAGCATAGCATGATTTATATAGGGGATGCAACACAACTCTGAATACTAATGTCCACCAGTTGTTATTAATTCCAATTTTTTTCTGTTTGTTTTTACTTTCACAGGAAATTAAGAGTTCAAGGAAAGCTTTAAAAAGGGAGTTTTCTGGGAAGGAAATTGTATTTTTGTGGGGGTTTTTTTTGATGAAGAAAACCACCTGAATTGCCTAACGTTTCTACGGTAGAGTAACTTGCATTCTTGCAGCGCAGGAGGAATTCTTTCCTGCATTACAAATTTGGAAGAAGCGTTAAAAAGTGAGAGTCGGAAAATGGTTCTCTCAAAGAGGCATGGATGTATCAGGATGTAGCTACTGTACAAAGTTTGTACTTGGATAATTCTGGACAGGAAAAAGCAGCCCCGTTTGTGACCTCCTGAAGAGGCTACCATCCTTCAAGCCTCAGCATAATGAATAGTTTTCATCGCGCGGCGCTGAAGTTACCACCTCCGACTACTACGCTGCACAGAAGAGTTTGTAAGAGTTACAAAGAAAGTAATTCCTGCTAAAGGCATTAAACCAAACAAAAGAGGCTCTTCATTCACAGACTTTACACAAGGACAAAAATAGAGGGAAGCTGAAGCTTTTCTACGCCCCAGCCTGGTGTGCTTATGTACCATGATAAATCTTGGTTGGAATGCTCATTGAGTATCGTGCCAGGAGCCAGGAAACACACACCACCGAGAAGGACCGTCTGAGTAAACGACGCCGAGAAAAACACAGCTCCATGGAGTAAACCGTAAGACTGACTCGCAAGAAAGACATTCCTTTACTGGATATCCTCAAGCACAAAATTTACTCATACCTTTAAATACGGTAGGATCAATATTAATTTATTTTCCTTTTCGTGCCTCAGAGAATAAAGTTCAATTAATATATGAACCCACAAGAGAAAAGGTCATGACACCGCTTAATGCATAGGTCATCTTGCAGAAGTTCTCACAACCCTAATTACAATGGTAATTGAATTGTGTTGTCTTATAAGCTATAAAAATGCTAATTACCTGAGCTCAATGTACAAACACACTACCAATCCAAAGTACAATTTCAGTCTCAAGAGTTAATTTACATTATCCTACCCTGCACAGGAGGAACTAATAAGATGGGAAAATGTGGTTAAACCTGCCAAATAGTCTCTTATTAGTGTGCTGCTTAGTAAGAAGACTTTGGAGAATGACAAATATTTAAACATGAAATTAAGCATGTAATGAAATATTCCATCCAGTCAACTAGAAAGCCATAGCTCTACCAGCTACATCAGGTTGTTAGGTACCTACCAATTCTAACGCTCGCTGTTCTAAACATTCCACTTCAAAAACCAAGAAAAGTAGGCTGCAGTATTTGTAAGATACACAACGTGACGTTGAGCACTCGGAAAACCTTGGAAAAAAAGTCTTTAGCTGGCCCTTGCTCTTTTGTCTGCATTCTATGCTTTGCCATTAGGACTTTTTTGAACCTCCAAAATAGCTACCACTAAACTTGTGATTTTGGTTAAGGGTTTTGTAGTTCACTTAAGGGCTCCTGGGTGGTTAGCTGGCTTAGGAATTACTTCTTACCTTTCAGATATAGAATGATTCACTTGAACTCTGGTGTGACTTCAGCTCTGTACTCACCTGGTGTCTGCAAAGATTGTCTCTACACATGAAACGTGAAGGAATCCTTACAAAGAGCCTTCTTGCTTAAGCAAAACAACTCACAGATCAGACATACTTGATTATATTATTTTCAATTACTATGCAGATAACCTACTAACTTAATTGAATTAGTACAAGAAGTAGTAGAATTCTTGATGTAAGGAAAAGAAAGTAAAATGTGTCTATGAGCTTGAATTTTAGTTTAATGTGCATGTTTCAGATGTCTTCGGTAATGTTGAATTTTCATTGCAGTTTCTTCATTGATGATCTGGATAATTTTGTTTGTTTGGTTTTTTTAGATTGTTGAAGATCAGAACTGTATACAAATCTCATCATTCCTGACCATGATTAGTGTAACCTGGAGCATCTTCCTAGTTTGGACTAAAATAGGGCTGTTACTTGACATGGCACCTCATTCTGTTAGTGCCAAACCATGCCCTTCAGTATGTCGCTGTGATGTGGGTTTCATATATTGTAATGATCGCGATTTGACGTCTATTCCTACAGGAATCCCAGAGGATGCTACCACCCTCTTCCTTCAGAACAATCAAATAAATAATGCTGGGATTCCTTCAGAACTGAAGAACTTGCTTAGGGTGGAAAGAATATATTTATACCACAACAGCCTAGATGAATTCCCCACTAACCTCCCTAAGTACGTTAAGGAACTGCATTTGCAGGAGAATAATATAAGGACCATTACTTATGATTCACTTTCACAAATTCCTTATCTGGAAGAACTGCATTTGGATGATAATTCCGTTTCCGCTGTTAGCATCGAGGATGGAGCTTTCCGGGACAACATCTATCTCAGACTTCTTTTTCTCTCTCGAAACCACCTTAGCACCATTCCCTGGGGTTTGCCTAAAACGATAGAAGAGCTACGCTTGGATGATAATCGTATTTCCACGATTTCAGAGCTGTCCCTTCAAGACCTTACAAATCTGAAACGCCTTGTTTTAGACGGAAATCTCCTAAATAATCATGGATTAGGAGACAAAGTCTTCATGAATCTAGTCAATCTTACAGAACTGTCATTGGTTCGCAATTCACTCACAGCCGCACCGGTAAATTTGCCGGGAACAAACCTAAGAAAGCTTTATCTTCAAGAAAACCACATCAACCGTGTGCCACCCAATGCTTTCTCCTATTTAAGGCAGTTGTATCGACTAGATATGTCCAATAACAATCTTAGCAATTTACCTCAGGGTGTCTTTGATGATCTGGACAACATAACTCAGCTGTTTCTTCGCAACAACCCTTGGCACTGTGGGTGCAAAATGAAATGGGTACGTGACTGGTTACAGTCATTGCCTTTAAAAGTTAACGTACGTGGACTGATGTGTCAGGCACCAGAAAAAGTACGTGGAATGGCTATCAAAGACCTCAACGCGGAACTATTTGATTGTAAGGACGATGGCATGATAAGCACCATCCAAATCACTACTGCGGTACCAAACACGTTATACCCGGCCCAGGGACACTGGCCGATTTCTGTGACCAAACAACCAGACATCAAGACTCCCAACCTGAATAAAAACTACAGAACCACAGCAAGCCCGGTACGCAAAATCATTACAATATTTGTGAAATCCGTAAGCACGGAGACTATTCACATCTCCTGGAAAGTTGCACTACCAATGACTGCTTTAAGACTGAGCTGGCTCAAGATGGGTCACAGCCCTGCCTTTGGATCTATAACTGAAACGATAGTTACAGGCGACAGAAACGACTACTTGCTCACGGCTCTCGAACCAGAATCACCATACCGTGTATGCATGGTTCCCATGGAAACCAGCAACATCTATCTCTCCGACGAAACGCCCGAATGCATTGAGACCGAGACCGCACCCCTTAAGATGTACAACCCTACCACGACCCTCAACCGGGAGCAGGAGAAGGAACCTTACAAAAACTCCAGCTTGCCCTTGGCCGCCATCATTGGCGGCGCGGTGGCGCTGGTGGCCATAGCGCTGCTGGCCCTGGTCTGCTGGTACGTCCACAGAAACGGGTCCCTGTTCTCCCGGAACTGCGCCTACAGCAAGGGACGCCGGAGAAAAGACGACTACGCCGAAGCGGGAACCAAGAAGGATAACTCCATCCTAGAAATCAGGGAGACTTCTTTCCAGATGATACCAATAACCAACGACCAAGTGTCCAAGGAGGAGTTTGTAATACACACCATTTTCCCACCTAACGGCATGAATCTGTACAAGAACAGCCACAGTGAAAGCAGTAGTAACAGGAGCTACAGAGACAGTGGTATTCCAGATTCAGATCATTCACACTCATGATACTGAAGGACACGAAAGACTGGTTTGGATTTTGTTGGGATTTTTGGTTTTGTTTTGTTTTTTAAAGAAAACAAGAAAAGACTGACTTAACGGTTGCTGTTCTACTGCAAAACACTGGATTAAAAGACTGACAAAGCAATGTACTGTACATTTGCCATATAATTTATATTTAAGAACTTTTTATTAAAAGTTTCAAATTTCAGGCTACTGCTGCGATTAATGTAGTGGGGATACCTGACCACAATTCTATATTTTAGTATTTTTTAGTAATTTGTACTGTATTTTCCTTGCTAATATTGAAGTTACAGACCATTTAACTTTTGTGTTCTACTGAGTAAGATGACTTGTTGACTGTGAAAGTGAATTTTCTTGCCGTGTTGAGCAGTCAGAACATTCATCTGAGATCCTTGTAAGTGTAAGCACAGGCCATTTTTCACTTTGGTATCAATAAAATAATGTTGAACCTGGCAAATCAGGAAGATCAAGAAGTGGTTGCGAAAACTCACAGAACTTTCAATGCTGGGTCTATTAAATCTGTAACCCACAACAATATTCAATAAACAAAAGTGCGTGTAGTAATGGGCAATATCAGCTGTCTGGATATATCCATTCAACAATGGTGAAATTCAATTTAAATGAAAACAATCAAATCAATAACAAGCATGAGACTGAAGCTGTTGACACGTGTGAAAAAAAATTGATCCCTGGAAGAAAGCATAATCAAATTCCTAACAAGGAATTTAAAAATATGCGCTAGGCTCTACAAACCAAGGGGGTAGATATGGTTTAGGGATAGATTTCTGGTTATCAAAGCCAGCGGTCTGCTTATTACAGAGAAAACAGTGATGGATGGCCCCAGGCATTTGAGAGGCAAGGGCAGGAAGACAGAGACAACGCCTAGAAACTGCTTTGAACAGAAAAAGGGTTGCAAGTGCAGTTTCATAAGAAAAAAGAACAGGACGAAAAACCCAGGCAATGTAAGCAAGGTCTCAAAAACTTTAGTCACAAAGGTAAACAAACAATTGGGGAATACAGCTATTTTAAAGCGTATACTCAAAGAGTATACAGGTATGTGTTTGATATACTGCCATTACAGTCAGGAATACTGCCCATTACTGTCACAGTTTTCCAGAAATTCCTTGATAAATCTGTAAGGTAACATGTTTCTTTCTGCCTTCCTACTGAACTATGAGCTATTTCATGTTTAAACCCCAAGCCACTCTTTGTTGCCATAATCATTTGTTTCTTCAACTAAAAACCAAAGTGCTTTGTACGCCCTTTGGCCAGTCTTGTATGTGCCTTGATCCAACGCTGCATGTATCAAGCTTTTAAAAACTAAAAAAAAAAAAGAGGGGAAAAAATAAAATACCCACTTTTTCATACATAACTTAACTATGAAAAATATTGGTCTTATTGATGAATAAAGTTGGAAAAATTAGTTCAAAACAATGCCACACATCTGCAGTGCACTGATAGGAAACCCACTCAGAAGCTACTACTATTCAGGTCATGAGCTTCACCTTTTTCTTTGTTCAACTTGACAGTATCGCACTTCCAGGTTTTCTTTATTATTAATTACTTGGAAAACAAGTTTTCACAACTTTGATATGTGTCAACTATGAAAGGGAGAGAAGTCATGGAGTTACAGCCTTCTGAGATAGGAAATCTTTTCAACAGGAACAGCAAATAAAAAGTGCTTTATATTTTGGACAGTATCTCAGCCAGGAAGGAATGTATACCACATGCAATTCAATTTTAAGAGGATTTTGGCAGTGCTTGGCCTGTCCGTTTCCCTAAGAGTGATAAAGGAAGGAAGACAACAAGAAAAAACAGTGACAAACACCGGGACTGATGGTTTCAGCAGTCAGCCTGCAAGCAATTTTCCTGCCAGGGATCCATCTAACTGCGCAGACCAAAAACTTCCAGTAACACGCAGCTCTTTTCATCCTCATTTTCCAGATGTGCCCAGGGAAGTTCCTCCCCAAGCCCCCTGTGCCATGGTGCTGTTCCCTCAACCTCACCTTCAAAAATGCCTCCTGCAGTTCCTGAGCAGGGGAGAAGTCCCAGATGGAGGAGCAGCACTGTGCTTCCCTACAGACCTTACACAAATCACGTCTTCCCCTTCACACGGAGCATTGATTGGATCCACGATGCCAAAAGTAACAGAAAGGAGCGTGTTCCGCTAAACAACTATGTGCTCAGCTCCGTGTAATGCACTAAACAAGACTATTTTGCTCTATTTTCCCATCAGGTACAAATATAGGGAAGGGCGAGAAAGCCAAGACTAAGCACGTGGCGCCTCATTACGTTCTTGTGCAAAAGGCTTCCGAGCAGTGAGCAGGAAAGGAAAACCAACACAGATGGAGGAGACGGACCCGTTTTTCATCTTAACTTAGCATATAGGGACCCCTTATTTCGAGACGCATTTAATGGCTGGGTCACTGGCAACAGATTACTAGGTCTTTGCCATCAGCTCTCCAATAACAAAACTAGGTTTTGCTGGGTTTTCAAGCTATTTACATGAAAACCTCTCTCCTAGTTGACTCCAAATTTGTGTTGTGAAAAGGGTAAAATAACACTTAATGAGTACTCGCCCGTGCATCTTCTGAGGCACCTCAGCCAGAGGTAGCCTGGTAATGGTATATACCATCTACTGCGCATCTCGGGTGATGCCATGCAAAGGTCGTACGGGCTATAAAAAGTTGCCATTTGAGGAAGGAGGAGGAGATAATTGCATGTGAAACTTAAGTATGAGGACTTTTCATTAGAAATTTATGCACTGTGAGGCAGTAGTATGCAAATCCAAAGCAACTTCAACAAGTTGGCTCGGTTGTTCCTGGTTCACCTCTACCAGAGAGAGAGTGAAAACCTGGACAGGTGATTCTGTCCTCTGCAGAGAACCAGGCCAGATTTGCAGGGAGAGCTGGTGTCCTCCTACTGCAATTGATGTCAATGGAAAAAATCACACATCTGTGCATACAAGATCTTCCTTAGGTTCTACAGCAACGTTTACGCAACATGCATAATATTAAGATTAATTTGGCAAGTGAAAGATTGATTTCAAACTAAACTCGGTATTTTTTTCTTTTGGTATTTATACAGATTTCTATTCCGCTCCATGTCATGCCTGTCTCTTCCAAGACTCTTCTACTTACAGTGCTGCAGTTATAGCATGCAATGCTCTCTAGCACCACGCATAAATCCGTTCTATTAGACAGTTATATACGTAGGCAAATCAGATTACTACGTTGAGCAGTTTACTCAACACACTTACCAAAATAACATTAATCCACATGAAATTTATCTCAGTTTTCTAATTCCATGTTATTTCAGTGTACTGTTCAATATTTAATTGTGGAGCAAGGAGTGGAATTTTTTTCAGCGTTGCCTAAACCTATATGCAGAGTTAATTTAATCAGCATCCTCCATATTAAAGTACTATGCCAAGTATCTTTTACGTTCCTTATTATCATCCCTTTTTTTGTTTTTTTAATTTGTATTGCTATCCTGAATTGCTCACAGTTCTGTTTTAACCTGAAAGCTGACTCCAAAAAAGCCCTGGTACTTTGGAATCCATATGAATTCTGTCTCATCTCGGTACCTTCCAGAACTAAATTTGCTTCATTTATCAGCTATTATTTCCTAGCTTTGTGCAACAGCCTGAAATGCAACAACTGTTGGGGTTTTTTGTTCTTTTTTCCTCCTGGCTTTAACAGTACCAATATCAAAGTATTATGGTCTTGGAACACAGTTACCATTTCTTCTGCTAATGCACTAGCTAGCATGCAAGCTATATTGTGCCAATGCTGTACATATTGAATGTAGAGCAGCAAATGCAATAAAACAAGAGCAAAAGTAATAAAGCCTTTTTTGCTATTAAAATAATTTACTGATGACATACATGCTGAGTGCATTATATAGACTTCTCTGCTAAGTAAAAGGATGCAATTTTGCATATTCACCTGCAACTAAAGTTGGGTAAGATCTTCAAATGTGAGCTGGCAGATGCCATCTGCCTGGATTTATCCAAACCACATTTGTTTTGGGTAGTTTTGGATGGAACCATAATTGGCACAGATACCCTCTGCTTTCAAAACACCTTAACCTTGCTTCCAAATCCATATATTGTTTCAGCATCACCTTGGGACTGATCTTTGTTTAATTAACTCTTTCTTCATTGACACCAAAACAACAACAAAAGCTTTGAGCCACAAGCCAGCACTTACCACCAGTGAAGTTTTTTTTTACAAAGCACAAAGTTATTCCATAACTGGGGAGTTTCTTCTTCCAAACTAGTCAGGCGTGGGTTAGCCAGAAAGGAAAAGCCCACTGACTGAATTCAGACATGAACATTTTACACTTGAAAGCGTATTTTTTCTTTGCAAATGAATTTAATTTTGGGGGTGGCGGAGTAGGAGTCCTGCCCTTGTGATGAAATTAGAGCCTTTTCAAACACTCTGAAGGTACAGCCATGACACGGGTATCAGATTCTGGACACCGTTGCTTTAAAAGATTTAAAAAAAAAACCGCATTTGATAGTTATTTCATCAAATAATTTCTTGCTCCTCTCAAAAAAATCTAGATAAAAACACATCAAGTATATGGATCTCTGTAAAACGGTGACAGAGCATCTAGCTCAAAACAAGCATCGCCTGCATTTTACCAGCACTGGACATCAAGCAAGATAATAATTTTTTGGTAGTCTTTAAATGATGGGTGGGGAACATTCCTGCCCTAGGGGGTAACCAAAACACTTCAACAATACAGGTGTTAAAAGAAATAACCATCCTCTGGATTATGGTGGTCTAAGGCAAAGGTGCACAACCCACATTTTGCAAACTGAGCAAATGTCCATCATGCACGGGCATCGTAAATGTCCTACACCTGAAACCTGCAGGCCAGGATTGCAGAAGTGTGTTGCCCAGCTTCAACTGCTTTTCAGAGCCCCTTTGTGTTTTCTTAAGATGACAATGTTGTGGAGTCATGGTATAAAACCTCTC